CCTAGCGGGTAGCTGATTAAGATAGTACATAGTACCACTACTCGCCACTAGATGTCGTTAAGTGTCACAATACACAATAATAATTGAAATGCAAAGTTTGAAGACCCCTGGTCTGGAACATCGAAAAAAGGTTGAAAATTTGTCTCTCTTGTATATACAGTGTCACCATCAAAGTGCGCACCATATAGGAAACTTTTTTTTTCGAAAAGTTTCAATGAAGTTAAAATGGGTACAAAAAATTACTTATTGATCTAAATGAGGTTGTCAAACACTTATAGCCTACATTTCAGTATGTCGTCCTCCACGTTCAATACAAAGTATGGTCCTTCTACTGACATCTGTTACTGCATTTTTAATAAATCGGTGATTTATATTTGCACAGCACTCGCGAATGGTATTTTCCAGATGTTGTATATCATTAAATGGTCTACTTCGGTACACTTTTTGTTTCAGGTAACCCCACAAGGAAAAGTCTAAAGGCGTCAAGTCGGGTGATCTAGGTGGCCAATAATGTTCCCAGTTACGTCCAATAACTTTGCCTCTGAACATTTGTTGGAGGGACTGTTTTACAGCAACCGTGTGATGTATTGGTGCGCCATCAAGCTGATACCATAGGTTGTATTTAATATTTAAAGGCATATTATCTAAAACTTCACGAACCTCATTATTTAAAAGGTTGAGATAACCGACGGATGATGAATTTTCCCTAAAGAAAAATGGCCCAATTATTTGGTCGTTAAGTATCCCACACCATACATTAGTTTTTTTATACATTTAACTGTGAAATTGGGATTTTCTTGGGCCCACCATCGGCAATTTTGAGAACTTACCGTTCCATTTGAAGAGAACGTCATCTGTCCATAAAATTTTATACGGAAACTTTACATTTTCTTCTCTCTCTCCTTGAAACCAGAATGAAAACCCCAAACGGACATCAAAATCTCGTTCTTTTAATCTGTTAATAAATGTTGGCTTGTAAGGCCAAAATTTATTCTTTAATAACATTTTTCTAACACTTTCTCTATTGTAATCGGTATTTTCTATAATATCGGTTATGCTCGTTTGCCCGTGTTCAATAACTTTCAAACAAATATTAAGTTGGGCCTCCTCATCATATTTACCTGGAGTGTGCTTTTTCTTGAATTGATTGTAACGGATCCTGTTTCACTGAATTTCGGCATTATCCTTGACACAGTAGTTGTTGAACATTTTTTCTTAGATACTGTTCATTAAAAATGTTAGTTACTTGCCGGTATGGTGTATTCTCACCACATATTAAAACTATTTCAATTCTTTCCTGACGAGACAACATTATTGCAACAATAACTGTTAAAAATTTGACAAGTAAATCAACAACTTGACACTACCATAGCATGCATTTTGTTCGTCAAGACCTACTTAAAAATTTTATTCAACGTGATTAAGCATCCTTACCGCCCTAGTTAGTGTTAATAAATAATCTGTAAATACTGAATATTGAAATTTTAATGTAATTTCAACTCTAGTAATTTTATTAATACTTATTGCAGTTTTTGAGTTGTGTCTGCTTTTTCAAAATTGAAGGTACTGACGTTTGTTTAAGAAAATAGCCAAGTTATTGAAACTTTGCACCAGTCATGTTAAAATTTTTATAGCACATTTTTAATTTCTCTCTAAAAATGTCCGTATAAGTAAAAATTCATCAGAAAAGTTAAACTCCATGATGAGTTTGTTATGTATACATGAATTGATGATAATTAACCGAACTTGTTTTTCTTAAATAAAGGGGATATCTGTCAAAAATAAGCAAAACGTTAACCTCATCCTAGTTGCATAAAATTTGGCATATGGATATAACATTGCCGTAGACACAACTTTTTCAAGTAAATTTTTGTTAAGTTCGATCTAGAAATGCACTTTTTCAATAAAAAAAAAAGTTGAATTTGACAAACACTGAACGTCAGTGGGTCGCAGTTGGCCGCATCATTTCAGGTTAAATTCAAATCACAAACAAGTGCCGAAGTTAAACTTCATTGAAACTTTTCGAAAAAAAGTTTCCCATATGGTGCGCACTTTGATGGTGACACTGTATACTTCCACGGGAGGTATTCAAGTAATTTGGCACATTTGATTCCACCATGAGCGGTACATATCAGATATACGCGGCGAACTCTGGCTGCTCATCGTTTTGAGGTTCAACTCAGTACACCTCGAACTTCACTGCCTAAAAACTCTTTCACTTGGAGAAGTGTGTGTATGTGGAATATACTTCCTGAGAACGTATTTCCAAATGAATTAAATCTCCAGCGATTCAAATCCAACATGAATTGCTACTTTCGCACAGGCACCGTTCTTAGAACGCCTCAAGCACCCACCTGTAGTGTTTGTGTTCTGTCCTTAAAAAACAAAACTTTTGGTCAATTTATATTACCTTTGCAGCAAAAATACATTTCTAATCACAGGTTTATAACTCACAAACGTAAGGTCACGCAAATAAATAATAATTCAATAATACTCATTCGAGTGTTCAAAATAGTATCTTACTGCTTCAATTCAGTAATCAGAGTTTTATTCAACACGGTTGTTGGAGTTCTGATTTTTTTTGGGAGAAATCACTCATCTCAATCAGCACCTTACGGTACCGGCTGAGACGAGTGATTTCTCAAAAATCTAACAGACTCAAATCGGGCGACTTGCAAGTCACTTCTCTGGTTCATCTTTCAGGAAATGTTTTACCTAAAACGAAAGAATGGTATAATCAGCAGGCGCCTAATCTCATCGAAATATTGACTCATTCACGTTGTAACGTTCACTACATTCAAGAATGTTAGTCGTTATCAATGTTAATGTCCCGAATGGCAATATATATAATGTTAATAATTCATCAGTATTTTCACCGGAAGTTAGCATAAACTGAATCCACTTCTTTATCGCAATAATAAAATTTTACATTGTGAACAAACGAGTAGAGCATTTCTTGCTAACTATCAAATGAAAAATAACTGTCAGAAGTGGAAAAACCGTTCATGACAGATTCGATTCATAACTACTTTTTTTGATATCCGCTACTTCAGATTCAAAAAAAGGAATTATTGGCCGTTTAAAAGTCCTCTGGGACTTTCATTTATCTTTGATAAGTGTTTTTTGAGTTTTCCTTCGATCTCACAGATATTGCATCCGTAAGGGGAGCCGTCCGTCCGTCTTACTTGGGACTGTCCATATCAAGGAATGAAATATATCATATCAAGAGAGAGATCAAAATAGCCCTGCCTAGTATTGAATCATGCATAACATGTATAGAAGCTCGAAACATGAGTTTTGGAACAATCAGGGTTTCAATTATGTTACTTAATGTAATGTTAGTTATGGATGTCGACAACACTGATTATCAGTGTTGTCCGAGATAGGTTAATGACGCTCTCAAAACCAATGGAAATGTTGGAATTTTCCTTAACGCTAATTATGTTCATAGGTTATCTCTGTCACAACCTCAAGATAAACTGAAAAATATAGTAATAGCTAGGATTCTGCATGAATAAACATGTGGAATTTGAACCTGATGGAGATTATTATCTGTATTATTATGATATTGCTGGGAAGACTTCAGAATTGAACTAAGTCATGCAATAAGTAATACCCTGTATGAAAACGAGATCTCTGGGACATTTCAGGATTCGATTACATATCTATTATCATTGTTGAATTTTAACAAGTGCACTAGGGTTCACCATAGGTCTCAACGGTAGCATTGCTTAAAATAGGGAATGGACTTTTTAATTTTTCAGGTTGAACTTATATCAATGTTTGGCATTTTTGTTTTGTTCACTCCGAGAGCCAAAGATTTCTGCTGGTACTCGATCCAACTATTTGTGCATATCATATCGATTTCATGGGTGAATATACGAAGTGTCCATTTGCGGATTTCATTATCGTAGACATTTCTCTCGGCTTGTGAAATAATTTTATTATCAGGGACATAAGAATGAAGCTGCTCCTCCATTTTTTTAGGTTTCGATGGATATCTTCCATTTGTTTTTTTCGCAGAGGCACATTTTTAACTGAAATTTCACTCGGTTAGCACTAGACAGAACCTTGAAAATCACGAAAAAATACTATATCCTTCACCAGAACTGATTTCCATCCATTGCTTTCATCGTTCAAAATTTCAATAAGTATCCGACAGCAAAGTTGAAATTTTTCGCTCACCTGTCAATTAATAAATCCCAGTGGTAGTTTCAAAAAATCTACACAAAACCTTCAGGGCTTAAACGTATATTGAAACACAGCTTTTGAACATGCTTTTCGACATGATAATGGTAATGTGTTGACTCTCGTGTGTATGTTAGGTTCAAGAAGTCTGACATCACACATTTTTTGGTATATTTTGGTAAAAATTCGATAGATTAGGAAAACGTTCGAATGTATGAATGAATGAGTGTATTGAAATAATCATATTCATCATTCAGAGTCTGTTCGATCTGCTATAAATAACGTAGATAACGTAGATACAACAATACGACTTCAACAAATATTTCTTAAACGTCTGATTCGTCACTTCAGAAGATGCTCTTTACTAATTGTACAAAGTCTTAAAATTCCAACGTTGATATTTCTTTCCCTATGTATTCAAAAAACACTTTATTGTTTTACGAAAACGCAACACGTGTTTCACTATACAATGGCTTCTTCGAACGTATGTTTACTCAAGACGTGTTGCGTGTTTGTAAAACTGTTTAGTAAAATCTCATAATAAAGTGCTTCTTGAATACGTTATGGATTTTCATCAAGTATCGGTCAATTCCATCATATATCCTCTATGTATATTGCATGATGACGTGAACGTGAACGTGTTTATTTCCGATTGTTAAATATTATGTTTTGAATTTGTAAACGAAATATATTTTCTCATTGGATCACATGACAGCCGTAAAGGATGAAACCTCCCGACCATTTGTTATACCATGTGTATGCCCGAATAACTAAATGATACCAATATTTCGATGAACTTCTGTATTTTGTAGGTTTCACTGGACAGAATTGCGAAGAAGTTATGCAAATATGTGATGATAACCCTTGTAATAATGGTGCTTTATGTTTGTTAGAAGAGAACCGGGCTGAATGTTACTGCGTTCCTGATTTCCATGGAGATTTCTGTCAATATCAATACGACGAGTGTCAGTTGGGACCAAGGTAAAAATAAAAGATCCTGGTAAAGTGCATATGCTCAGAATCCGGTGATAATGTGTGTTGATATGTATATACAGGTGGTCAAGTCGGCAATATTTCTAACTTCTTTCTAATCTCAAATACGAGTTCGGTTCAATTAGAGGACTATCTGTATTTATTTCGCTGAGAAACGTGTTACTTCAACAGAAAAACAGAGGAAAACCCTGTATATTTCTCCCTCAATCGATTGCCAACTCTTTTCTTGAAAAGTTATTATTTTATACATCTCCTTCTTCATAAACCCCGGAAACAAAATTCCATGTGTGTAACATTAGGAGAACGAGAAGGTCAACGAACTGGTTCCCTAATAGCAATGGAACGATCATTATAAGGATCAATTGAAAAATTATTAACGTTTCGAGTATTTCGTAGAGACGCACCGTTTTGTTAAAATAACAATCTTCAGTTTCAAACATGGGATGAATATAATTTCATTATTTAATAAAGTGTACTGACTTTTATGAATTCTTTTTATTTGACAACTCCAATCAACATCTTCTCACTAATTAAAAATATTTTCAGACATGACATAAACTAAATAGAAAACCTATACATACAGGAAATAATAAAAATGTACATTCTGAATCTGATATTCTCTCCCATTTTAAAATTGCAATAAAAAAAGAGGCATTTCAAAATGTCATTATGAATTTCACTCGAAAACGCTGAAACAGTCGAATAAGTTCTTCATTGTTTACTGCTATTTTCGCTACTCTGGGTACATCATCTTTTACAGGATTAATTTCCAATATTTTTCCTATAGACCAGTTCATTCGCTTCGCATTGTCGCTGCTGACAAGAACAACATCTCCAATTTTCAAACTAACTATTTTCCTTTGACCATTACGTACGAGTTCTGCTAGATACTACTTTCTTAATCAGCTTTGGAGACCACCTCTCATCTTTTGCAAGTATCTATGTCGTTTCACTAAATGATGTATGTCTACGACATCGAAATCTGGAGTTGCAATAGTAGTTATATCCGAAATAATCATAGAAGAGCTGAGTGGTTTTAAATTATCTTCATCCGAAATATAAGTTAAAAGCCTTGCATTAAATATGACTTCACAATCGCATAAAGTCGTCATCAATTCTTCATATGTTAAAGTTGCTCTCCCTAAATTCCTACGAAGTAATTCCTCAATTACTCTGATCATGCGTTCCCACCAACCGCACCACCAAGCAGCTGTTGGAGGATTCTAATGCCATTTGATTTTTCCAACTGTAGAGTAGTCCATAACTTCATTCCAGTTTATCTTCTTCAAATAATTTTGGCTTCAATAAAATTTGTCCCGTTGTCAGAATATAACCAGTTCCAGATGCAATGCCCGATGTACAACGGTCTGGTTTCCGTTATCCTATCTTTCGGTAGTGGCGCAAAAGGTGTATTTATGCATCTACTTTCGAATCGTTTGCACTGTACACATTTTTCTATCACTTCTTTAACAAACTTTCTTCCCTTCAGTATCAAAAATCTTTCACGAAGATTCCAAGAAGTGTTTGACGCCCCTGCGTGAATATATATTTCATGTTGTTCCTCGATCAATTTCCTAACAATATCATGTTTACATGGTAAAACAACAGGATACTTGAAATTATCACTGTCATCACCTAGTATGAGTTCAGTTTGTACTCGTATAATATTATTTTCGATTTCTTGTCATAACCAAAGCTTTCTCTCTGTATAAGTTTCAAAGTACAAAATTCTGCCATTTTTTTTTTCATCAAAAGTTAATTCGCCAGTTCTGATTTGATTTTTCTTTGAAGAATTATTATAAAATCTCAAAATATAACCCATCATTCTCAAAATTTCCGTATATTTGGAGAAGTGTCCGAAATGTCTGAAAAAATGTTCACTTTGTGCGAAATTAACAGAACTAATTTTTGTCTGTTCCAAATTTATATCTTCTGTTGAACAAATCATTTTTGTGAGGCCAATTTTCTGGACTCTGTTTTAACCACTGAGGACCTTTCCACCACTTTAATTCAAACAGTATATTCGCGGTGCACACTCGTGATGCAATATCTGCCGGATTTTGGTCCTCTTGTACATGAAACCGATCATCAATACTACTGCACGAATTTATTTCTTTCACACGATTCCCCACGAATGTATTCCAGGACCCTTTTGTTTTCATACATATTTGGGCTTCCATGGAATCACTCCAATAAAATGTTTTTAACTGTTTCATCTCTTCCATCCTCTTAATAAATTGACATAATCTTACTCCAATAATAACTCAAGCCTTGATACAGTGCTGTTTTTGGTGCTATTCTAGATTTAGCCTGAATGAGTTTTAGAATAACTTCCTTATTTGATTCTGTTCTTAGAAATACACAAGATGCATAATATGATGTTTTTCTGGCATCGCAAAAGACATGGATAAACATATTTTCAGGAATGCAATGGCTCAAATTATAAGACGATTCAGGAATTTTATATACAGTAAGAAAATGTAATTGTTTTATCCACTTTTCAAATTTATCGATTATGTCACTTAGTAATTATTTACCCCAACCAATTTCAATGTCCATGTTAACTGTTATAATAGTTTTGGAATCAACGTAAATGGACATATGAAACCAATGGAATCAAAGATCTTTTGAGTTATTGACAATAAACCTCGTTTCGTTTGAAGTGTACTATTCAGATAAATGAGACTGGACAAATCAATATACAACATCTTTTAAAGAATCCCATTAATTGCCTGAAACAGGCATGTTTCTTTCGTTGGAAAAATCACCAGCAGAATTATCCGTTGAATTATATGTATATTCATTGTCTGAGAATGAATCTCCCTTTGACATTAACTCTTCTGATTGACTAATAAGAGTGTCCAATTCTTCAATATTATTGGCGCTGGTCACACATTTGTTAACGTAAAATGACGTTTTCAGTTTATGAGTAGTGTTTTTCGAATGTATTGATGCCCTATTCAAATTATGGTTTATAGTTGCATCTAACAAAAAAGGGCTAAGTTGTACATCAAAAACTACTCGACAGTGTCTGAAGATATTTATAACAAAGATAGCAAGTGGAAATCGATCGTTCAGCCTGGGGCTTGAACCACCGACCAACACGGCAGTCAATTCGAGTGAGTGAACAAAGCACCCACGTCGAACCGACCGGCTATCGACTAACCTCAAATTGTCTCTTTCATTGGGATCCACATCAATTTGCAAAAATGCTTTTTCTATATAAGATGTAACTCCTGTTATGAGGCTGCTGACTCCCTTGCAAAGGAGGATCCTGCAAGCAGCTTCATCGGACACGAACCTGTCATTGGCATTGCTTTAGGCTTTGCCATACAAAGATTGAACACCTGGATGGCAAAGATTTATGGACTTCTGGCAGAATCTTCAAGGAGTGGCTCACTCCAAGCCGTTTATTCACCCTCCGAAGCTCGATACCAACCATTTGTTTGATACCAAACAGTTGGAATGTAGTAGAGATGAACTATGATGTCTAACAGGCCTTCTAACGGGTTACTGTCATTTGAACCATCATATGTAGAGACTCGGACTGTCAGAAGACAGTGTCGCCTCTGCTTGGAAAATGATGAAACATCAGAGCACATACATCGTGCCTGCTCCGCTAGGTACCGAATCAGGTTTTTAGAGTTCAGCAGAGCCGTAATCTTACCATCTGACCTGAAAGACCACTCACCATACAAACTAATTGGCTTCGTTAAGAAGCTGGGTTTATTTGGTCGAGTGTGAATAAGTGTGAGCCACAATAAACTCTTGCGGGTTCCGACGGAGGGTCGAATAGATCCACTCACTTTGGACCTAACCTAACCTAATATAATTCCTGTTCATTTTATTCTGTTCTGTCCTAGTCTATAATGAAGAAATAATCAATTCTAATAGATTGGGATCTTTTTCTGAACATGTATGTAATGAATTTCCGTTATTATTTTTTGTTGATGCGTCGAATAATGGCCTAATTTTAGTACTAATACTCTTTTCCTCATTAACGGCACGATGAAGTAAATAGTAACTTGGCCTATCAACTGAATATTCTCTAACTTCTCTTATAATACCTATTGATTTTCATTATGCAAAAACCATTCTATAATCTTCAAATTTTTTTGAGCTAATCGACTTTTTTGTTGAAGACAATAATCTTGCTTCAGCTATTTCGTTGTTGTTGAAAAGTTTCGGATGATGACCTCCTTTCCAAGGAAGATTATGCCAACCCACTACAAATATTTCAGATTTTCTGCACAGCAAAGGTGTAAATACTGCTTTCAAAACCAACAACAACTTAGGCATGCACATTAAGAATAACAAAGATGAAAGTTCAGTTTCAGAAAAATCGGAAGTGTATAAATTATCGTGTCGGTCATGTCCGATGTTTTATATAGGTCAATCTGGAAGAGCGTTCAAGGCCCGCATAAAGGAACACAAATTTATTTTCCAGAATGGAAAAATAAATTCTACATACGACACTCATTTGATCTCAGAGGGACATGACTTCAACCAAGAATACAAATCCCTCCATTTATAGAAGAAAAGTTCGAAACTTAACCTGTTGGAAAGTATGGAAATACACAAATTCAAAAATTCTCAATATCTTATGAACGATCAAACTGATTTTGAATATTTCGCCATTATTGAATCTGTTCATTTTCAGTCAAAAATAGTTAGGTATATCTACTGGTATACTTTCGAAAAATGTATTCATATAGTTAATGAATTCATACCTGACCTTTTCAGGTAGATTCATTCAACAGGCAGACGGGTAGGTAATAGGTTAGAGCAGTGTTTCCCAAAGTGTGGGTCGCGACCCCCTGGGGGGTCGCAATGAGGTACTAGGGGGGTCGCCGGAAATTTCCAAAATAAGACAAAAACACTACTTTGTTAAATCATGTATTTTTATTTTAATAAAGCCGTAAATAAAAATTAACAATTAATTATCAAACGAAACATAAAACTAAATATTAAAAGTCCTTAAAAAGTCCTTAAAAGTAAAAGAAAAAAATTAAGTCAAATATTACAATGTTAATGAGACCCATGCGCCTGTTTTTTTGAAACTAGTCTTTCAAATCTAGGCTGTGTATTTGAGACACACACAATTATATCGTTTTCAAGTACGAGACGATTTCTCACTTTTGTTTTAATGGCAGTCATAGACGAGAAACTTAACTCACATAAATATGATGTTACAAATGGAACCAAACATTTTACAGCTTCATTCGCCAACTGAGGGTATTCCTGCATCTTTTTGGTCCAAAATTCGTCCGGGTTCTGGGAAAAAAATTGGAGCTTCAACATTCCATCACTTGATATTTCAATAAGTTGTTCTTTCATGTTTATTGGTATTTCAGCATGTTGAAAGGAATCGGCTAAAAACGGATTCAGTATCCATCTGCAACTGTCGTAACTGTTTTGAATTTCTTCGGGGAAATAATCACAGAGCTGTTGTTTTAAATTAAGCAAAGTAACTTGCATGCCTGCATAAACTTGTTCAAAATTTGTAGCACTGTAACATACATTTTCTATAATTTCCTGAACGCACTGGAATGAATCGAGCTGCTTTTTGCCAAGTGAAGTTGACCATAAATCGATTTTTCTTATAAACCCCTTAATTTTATCTGTGGCTGTAATTATATTAATGTCGCGACCTTGCAAATTACTGTTCAAAATATTTAATTGTTCGAATATATCAGCAAGGAAACCTAGTTTCAAAAGCCAAATAGGATCGGAAAATTGATTTTCATATGGGGACTTCTCATCTTTCAAATACATTAAAAGCTCTGCTCTTAAGTGAAATACTCTTTTTAAGACGTTGCCC